TACTATTTGTAGGCGGTTTAAATTTTTCTTTCTTTTCATTTTCACATTATTATTATTATTATTATTATTATTAATTGTTATTACATTAATTTTATTATAAATAAAAATTTATTTATTTATTTTTTACACAAATTTTTATTATTATTATTATTATTTTTTTTTAATATATATATAAATATATTAAAAACTCTAAGACTTTGATAATAAATCAGGTACATTTTTTTTTTTTTTTTTCATTTTACACATTATTATTATTATTATTATTATTAATAATAAATTTATTCTTAGATGTAAACTTACTCACTATACTATCATTACAGACGTCATTATCTATCTATCTATTATTATTATTATTATTATTTTCTCTCCTTTTTTTGTCATCGTTTATAAAATTGAAAGAAGTAAATCATCAAAATATTCTAAAAAACAACTGAACGGCAAGATTGAGCTTTTTTTTATTTATTTATTAATTTATTTATAATAATTATTATTATTATCGTTAATAATAATAATAATAAAATTGCTTTTTTTTCTATTTTTTTTATTTAAATTTACTCGTAATCTTAAATATATTTTTACTTATATATTAAACCCGCGTTTTATTTAATTAATTAATAATTTTATTTAAAAAAAAAAAAAAATTTTTTTTTCTTTCTCTCTCTCTTTCTCTCTCTCTCTCTTCGCTTTTTCGATAAATCTCAATTTGAAATTTAATATTTTCACACGTACGATTAATAATAATAGAAAATTATTATTAATAATAATAATAATAATAATAATAATAATAATAATTGTTATTTTTGAGCATTTACATCGTTTCCGGATGTTGCCGATCCCAAAAAAAAAAATTTAATAAATAATCCTCACGATCAAAATATAATTTTAGAAATGCAAAAAAAAAAAAACAGGACCATTTAAACGATAATAATAATAATAGTAGTAAAAGTTTGTTTGTTTGTTTGTTAGCAAATAATTTATGTAATTTTTTTTTAATTAATTTAATTGAAATAAACAAAATTTGTGCCAGCTTAATATAAATAAATAAATCATAGCAGTTAACTTTTCGTTTTTCATTAATAACGTCATCATGAAAAAAAAAAAACTAAATGAGTATTGCATTATATTTTTTTAATTGTAAAATAATAATAATAATAATAATAATAATAATAATAATAATTGATAAGTGCGCTTTTGAAAATTACAATAAGTAAAAAGAAAAAAAAAAAAAATTATCCTTTTCCCCGCGCTGTTGTTTTTTTTTATTTTCTTTTCTTACTTTTTTCCTTTTTTTTTCCGTTTTTGGACAGTCACGTGATGTTATAAGAGAATTTTTTCTTTTTATTATTATTATTATTATTATTGGCAAATAATAATTTCCTTTCGTATTATATTACAATTTATTTATTTATTTATTTATATATATATATATTTTTTTTTTTTGTAACATGGAATGTCTTCATTCGAGTGTAAAATTATTATTATTATTTATCTATTTTTTTCCCCCCCGTTTTATAAAATTTTTAATTTTCTTACCCACCCCCCTCTTTTCCCCCTTTTTTAATATATATATACATATATATATATATTTTTCGAGAAAAGTTTTCTAATGAAACTGAAAGTAATTATTAAGAAGTTTAATAATTAAATTATATTAATTAAAATTTAAACTTTTTTTTTTGTGTGTGTAATAATACCATTTGAAAACTCTTCTCGAATAAATATTGATTAGTTTTTAATTAATAATAATAATATTATTAATAATAATAATAATAAAAAGAAAAAAAAAACAAAATGAAAACAAAAGGAAAACTAGACGAACAAAAAAGAAAAGAAAAGAAAAATCCGTAATGAATGAATGACATTATGCCAGAATTTCAAATTAATTAATTAAATAATAATAATAATAATGAAAATATACGATAAGTAAATAAATAAGTAAATAAGTAATAATAATAATAATAATAATAATAATAATAAAACCACTACTCTTCATTGCACAAAACATAAAAAAAAAAAATCAATTTGATTAAACAAATACAAAAATCCATTGCAAAAATATACTATAAATAATAATAATATTATTATGCAGATAATCAACGGAATTTGATTCCGGCATAAATTTTATCATTATCATCATCATCATCATCATCATTGTGATTACATTTACGTTATTTATTTATTTATTTTTAAATAAAAATTTTGTCGGGTTTTCATCGCCATTTTCGTTTCCCTTTTTTTCCAAATATTTATCGGCGTGTCCGACAAAAATTTAACGATAATAACGATAATGATAATGACAATAACATAATAGTAATTTTAATAATAATAATTATCATTATAATATAACATAATTAATTAAAAATATAATAATAATAAGGGCAAGAAAAAGTTGACTAGGGGTTTAATAGCATCATCTAAACTGAACATCGAAAATCGAAATAAGTACAACAAATAAATATATATATATATATATATATGTATTAAACTTACTAAATCTAATAAATTTCTTTTTTTTTTTTTTTTTTACTTTTTTAATTTTTCTTACTTTTTTTTTGTTTCTTTCATTTATTTATTTATAAATCTTAATTTTTTTTTTAATAATAATAATAATAATAGCAATAATAATATTAATAATAATAACAACGAACGTCATTACTATTCTCATTCTTCTTTTCCTTCTTTTTCTTTTTATTATTATTACTAATATTATTATTATAATTTTTTTTATTTAAAAAAAATCAATTTAAATCGTACATAAATAAATCATCGGTAAATAATCATAATAATAATAATAATAGTTTATTTTGACTAGCCGTTAAAAATAAATAATAATTATAAATTTTGGTCAACTAGTCCGATATTAAAATAAGAAAGAAAAAAAAATGGCGGCGGCGGCGGCGGTAGAATCAGTGTGGAAAAAGAAAACAATTTTTTTTTTTTTTTAGCGTCATTTGTCGTCTTTGCATTCGATCTATCGATCGATAAATCGATTATTTATTCAATTATTTATTTATTTTTCGTTAGATTGAAATAAAAACTAATCTCGTAAATGTCAACAACGCGAATAACGAAAAAATTGTAATTTCGCGTTTAAATAAATAACGAATTTTTCTTTTTTTTTTTTCTTTTTCATTTCGATTGAATTTTTAAAAAATTTAAACTTTTTCCACACACGATTCTGCCAACTTAACAAAAAATAAGAAAAAAAAAAACAAATTGCTGATAAATAATTCAATATTTGAAAAAAATAAGTAAGAATACAAAAAAAAAAAAAAGAAAATTTTTGCTTGTTGAAAATGAAAAGAAGGAAAAATGAAAAGAAAACTTAACGTGTTTTTCGTTGTGTTGTTTTCTTTATGTTTTTCTAAACTCAAAAAAACGAAAAAGAAAATTGGAAAAACAAAAAAAAAAAAAAAAACGAATGAAAACAAAATTGGAAAAATTAAATAAAAAACGAATCTTCAAGTTGACCATTATCACCATTATTTTGTTTTCATTATTATTATCATTATCATTATTATTATTATAATAATAAATTGTTTTTTTATTTATTTATTTATTTTTTTTTATTTGACTAGAATCAATTAAGGTATGCAAAAAAAAAAAAAAAAGTATCGGTAAAAGAGACGTCTTGTTATACATCTCGTTCGGTTCGGATTTAATGGTGGGGGCAGGTGGGGGGCGGGGGTAATAAATGTAAGAAAATCGACAGTATCGCACAGCATCATGTAAATAATTTAAGAAAAGAAAAGAACGGAATTTAAGAAAAAGAAAAGAATACAACCTTTGGAAAAGATTTTTCATTATGACGTGTGAAACTCTTCTGAACATTTTTTTTGCACGTTTGAACATTGTAAAAAAAAAAAATTTGAGAAAATATTTAGATGACTATGTCATTAAATATCGTACGAGTTTTATAAAAAGGAAAGAAAAATTTCCCATTTTGAGAAAAATTGGGATCGATGGGAATAGGAAAAAGGATCGGCGGCGGTGCAGGTAAAAAAAAAATTTTTTAACATTTAAAAATAACGAGAAAAACAAGAAAAAAAAAATGGTCGATCCATCCGTTCATTTAATGTTTAACATATGGAAAATCAATTCGAAAAAGAAAAAAAAAAGAAAAAATAAACCAAGATGGCGGTGGTGGTGGTGAATGTCAAACGGAATGAAAAGTTACACAAACAGAGAGGCTATGATCACTATGAACTCCATCCAAAATGGCTGCTGGGTTATTTGAAAAAAAAAAAAAAAATTAACCGAATAATTGATTTTTTACGAGACAAAAAAATGAATTTCAAATATATACAATTTAAAATTAAAGCTTTTCAACCGAATATTAATAATAATAATAATAATGTCAACGGTTTGTCTTTTTTTTTTTTTTTCTCCGTACTAAAAGAAAATTTTTTTTGTTTTCTAAAAATCCGTTATTAAAATCATCTAAATAATTTCATTTAAATTAATTTTTTTTTTTTTTTACAGACAAATTATTAAAAATTTCCCAACAGCTGGAAATGACGAATCTACTACTCTACTAACTCCTCGTTATTCGGTTATTATTTATTCCAATTCCTTCTTCTTTCTTGACTTTCCTTGTGTCCTTAATTTTCATTTTTTTCATGTTGGCGACTTGACGTTGACGACGACGACGACGACGACGACGACGGTAGACGATGTTTGTTTTCGATCGCAGAGAATAATTATTGGAGGAAGACGATACTTTTTAACTCAGCGACATCATTCTATGATCCCCACCAAAAAAAAATTAAAAAAAATTTTCTTCTTCTTTTTCTTCTTCAAATCACTATTTACACCTTTTTTTTTAAAAAAAATTGATCTGTTCATCAAATAATTTTAATAATAACTTATAAACTGAACAAAATGTTATCCAGATTGAGACAATTGCTCCTGGATTTGGTTAAGTCAATCGAGATCGAAAACGGCGTTGCCGGAATGGTAGCGAGCCCAGCGTGAACGTTTGGGCTAACGCCGGCTTGGAATTATGCAGTTTTCGTTTTGTTTGTTTTAAAAGAAACCTGAAGAACGCGATTGCCTAACGTGTAACCGTTAAGAGACTGTATTGCAACCACGGCTTCGTCGTAATTCGTCATCGTGACGAATCCGAAACCTTTACATTTATTCGTTTGAAGATCCCGAATGACTTTAACACTCTGAACAGCTCCAAACGGTCCGAATAGTTGCCATAAAACGTTTTCTTCCGTTTCCGGTGCGAGATTGTAAACGAATATACACCACCCGGAGCCGTTCATTGCATTACCCGGTAACATTGAGTTGGCCAGTAAATCACCCGCAAGCGGAGAATACCTGAAAAAAAATTATACAATTTTTCGGTTGTTTTTTTTTTTTTTTTTTTTTTTTGCTCGTTCATTTTGTGTGACAAAAATTTTAATTTTTTTAATTACCGGAATCTGCCGGTGGGATGGTGGATTGGACCGGCGAATCGTCGCGCTGCCTGTGGTGCCAAATATGCTGCCAGTGGTGGTATTGCTTTGTTGTTGTTGCTCGGATTGTTTGCGAATTTGACCGTGATCGGATCCGTTGAATTTTTCGGAATTGAACCGTTCAACTCGGATATGGCTCTCTCAGCTTCCATTCTTTGATCGAACCGGATGAATCCTACACCTTTGGAAAGACCTATTCAAAATAATCAGGATCTTGTGAAAGATGCCCCCGCGCGGACCCAGGGTTTTTAATCAAATATTTCATTATCCCCACCGAACCACCATAACTACTCATTTGATGAAAATTATCACGTTAAAAACATCTTAACCAATACCTTTGGCACAAATTCCCCTAAAAAAAAAATTTTTTTCTATTTTTTCTATTTTTCTTTTCTCTCTCTCTGTAAAATTTTTATCAGACCGTCGCATTTTTCATTAACTTCCGGTTTCATCGAATTCATCGCATCTTTATCCACCTAACCTCGAATGTATGAAATCGATCCCTGACATTAACGATCGGATTTGAGGGCATGTAAAAATGTACTTAAAAATAAAATTTATATAAAACACACAAATATATATATACATAAATATTTAAATATACACATACACACACACATATATATGTAAATATATATGTGTGCGTATGTGTACATAATAAAAATAATAATAATAATAACGATAATCTCTATTATTAATTTTAGTTAATGCGTCTTTTTTCATTCTTGTTATATTCTTATAAAAGCTGATTGGCGTGTGAAAATCATTTTAATTACATAATTTTTTGATTACAAAAAAGAAAATAAAGCCAAAGAGCATGGTTAATAAATTATTATGGCACTCACACGCACACACACACACACACATATAATTCGCATTATATTATGTATATGTGTGTGCATGAGTTAATTTTCATTAATGGTGAGTTGATTGCAACTTTTTCTATTTAAATTTTAACTTTTAAGTCTTTTCTATTCATTTACATAACAATATTTTATTTTATTTAAAAAAAAAAAAAAAAAAATGCTGAAAATTGTTCGCATTTAAAAATAATTACACGTTATTAACGAAAACTTGAACGAATTTATAAACAAATTTTACTAAATTTTCACTGAGTACTGATAATGATACTCATGTATGGTACTCATCATAGGGCAAAAGGAAAACTTTTCAGCATTTTTTTTTTCAAATTTATTTATAAATATATCATTTTAATAGTATTGTATAGAAAAAAAAAATAATTTTTTTTTAATTTTTCCACTCACACAATATAAAAAACAAAAAAAAAAAAAAGAAAATATAAATCTACTAATCAGAAATAAATAAATAATAATAATAAAAATAAATTAAAAGCAAAAAAAAAAATCTTTTTGTTTTTTGTTTACAAAGTAAAATAATAATAATAATATTCTGGGTTTAATTGTCGGGTTTCGAATTTTTTTTGGACAAATAAATTTAAAAAATAAATTATAATTTAATTATCGTAATTTAAAATCGTCATATTCTTTTTAAAAAAAATGGCAAAATTATAGCCCGAAAAAAACAAATAATAATAATAAAAATAAAGGAAATTAATTTAAAATAAAAAATCAACTCACAAATAAAATAAAAAACGCATCAACTAAAATCAGTCTGATAATGATAATGATAATGGTAATAATAATAATAATAACAGTGTAAAAAATAAAAAAATAAAAAAAAATATTAAAAAAAAAAAAATTTACTACTGTTGTGAAATAAAAAAATAATAATAATAAATAAAAATAAAAATTATTAACCGATAATTCAAAAAAAAAATAAATAAATAAAATAAAATAAAAAATAAATAAATAAATGAAAATAAGTAAATAAATAAAAATAAAATGAAATGAAAATAAAATGAAATGAAAATAAAATGAAAATAAATAAATAAAAAATTGAAATTAAAAAAATTAAATTAAATTAAATTAAATAAAAAAAATTTAAAGTCATCCATACCTATAACATCCATACCTGTGATGTTATCGCATAGAATACGGGATGTTATTATTCTTCCATACGGGCTGAACAAACTTTCCAAATCTTGTTGGGTCATGTTTTTCGGAAGTCCGCTTACGTATAAATTGGCTCCCTTGATGGATTCGCTGCTGGGTCTGGCGAACGACACCTGAAAAACAACAAAAACAACAACAATCAAATTAATAATAATAATAATAATAATAATAAAGAGAGTGAAACAAAGAAAAATAGGTTCGCTTACTTTGATCGTTTTATTTTGCAATCGAAGGCCGTTAAGAGTGTTTATGGCTTTTTCAGCATCTTCTGGTCTCTGATAGTTAACAAACCCGTAACCAAGACTCTGACCTAAAAAACAAAAAAAAGGGAAAAGAGGTTAAAAAAAAATTTTTTTTTCGATCCACGTATCATTGTCACAATTTTAATTCTCTAACAAACAAAATATCGGAAAATTTTTTTTTTGTTTTTTTTTTTTTTTTTTTTACTAACCACGCGTTTTACTGACCTAAATAAAATAATAATAAAAAAAATTAAAACTCGGGGATCCCCCTTTACGAAAATTATTAATTTTCAATTTTTTTAATTTTCCCCGATCCATGCAACAAATTTTTTGCGGTAAAGTAAGAGTTTTAAAAAAAATTTCAAACGAATAAAATTCTATTTATCCTCCCCCTCTCCCGCCCACCTCCCCCCATTTCGATACGAAAGAATAGAAGAAAAGTCAGACCGGCCTTATTTTTTTTTTCCAAACCATTTTCCTTACTTAAAAAGTTTTTAAAAATTTATTAAAATTTATGAAAAGTGATGAGAATAAATCGGTCATTTCGCTGTCGGCTCCTGCTGCTCCTTCTTCTGCTTCTACGTCCTACACTAATATCAATCGAATTGACTTTTGAGGGTCCCAAATTTTTAATTAAAAAAAAAAAAAAAAAAAAAAAAAACAATGGAAAACAAAAATGGAGTATTAGCCTCATAACAAAAAAAAAAAAAAAAAGACATGAGAGATTGTTTAAAATTTTTGTTTTTTTGTTTTTTTTTGTTTTTTTATATAAATTAATGACGGATGAGGATGTTTTACAAAGAGAGAAAAAAAAAATGAATTACTGTAGGAGTTCGTTTGTAATTTATAAACAAATTTTGAAATGAGTCCAATGTTTTAAAAAAAAAAAAAAAAACAAAAAATTAAATTGGCGATTTCATAAATAAAAAATTTAAAATTTTAAAATGAAAAATCAATTTTTTTTTTCGCTCTTCTCCTTTCTAAAAAAATTCAAAAAAAGAAATATCACGTTCCCTTACCTGTCACTTTATCCCTGATTAATTTACAACTTTCGACTTCCCCAATTGATGAAAATAATGAACGAATCTCCTCCTGCGTCATCGTCTGCGGGAGATAGTTGACAATAAGATTCGTTTTACTCTCCTCTGGAGCCGTCGTCTGAGATGATGAATTGTGTGAGTTGGTCGACGACGAAGAATTGGTATGGAGTGCTCCATTTTGTTGTGGTACGCTGTCCATTCCATTTTGCATCATTTTTACAAATCTAAAAAATAATCAAAAATTTCCAACATTCAAAAAAATAATGTGTGAGATTGAAATTCAAACGCACTCACGCGAAATATCGTTTTTTTTTTGAGGGAGACACACGCATAAAAAAGGAGGACGATTGTTTAAATAATTAATCACCCTCCATTTTTCTTTTTTTCCTATTTTATGTTTTCCATTTCCTGTTTTTCCGATTTTTTTTTTTCTCCAAGTTTCAGTTCGTACCCATTCATTATTATAATAATAGCAAAATATATTTTTTATAATTTTTTTTTTTGCGATTTTATCGCTCTGCACGTGGTAGAATCGATTCCTCAATTTAAAAAAAAAAAAAAAAATTAAAATTTTGCGGGGGTGAAAGCATACCAATGGCGAAGATAATAAGTGATAGAGAACATAGAGAACGACGACGACGACGACTAGAATGAAAGGGTAGAATATTTGAAGGGAATTCAACTTGCTCTGGGGTTTCGAAAAAAAAAAGCGGATTAAATGCGGGGTGGAGCTTCCCTTATAATAATCAATGAAGCAACGGCTCGATACTTGCGTAAGTGTACGTATATTATTTGCACTTTGGAGCTCTTTTTTCTTTTTCTTTTTCTTTTTATTACTTTTGTGCAAAAAGATTTGACTTTTCTTTTCTTTTCGAATAAGAATAAAATGAAAAATAATTTAAAAACTTGAATGAATTATTAAAATATTTATAATTTTGAGCTTTTAAAAGCTCAAAAAAAAAAAACTTTTTGTTAATTAGCACACGATTTTTCGCTATCATCGCTTCGGAAAGCAACATTCATTGTTTTTCTTTTTGTTTGTTTTCAATGCAATTTTAAAATGATTTTTATAACGTAGACGGTCGATTTTCAATGATAAAAATTTACAAAAAATAAAAGAAAACCAGAAACCTTTGATGAAAATTATTATTATTATTTTCGACTTTCGACTTAAAAAACAAAACAAATTTTTTTTTTTTTTTTCGATGTCGATAATTTATCAAAAGTGTGTAAACGCATGCCACGCATCAATCCACGAAAGCGAATGTCGACGATATATACCAATAGACATAAAAGTTAAAAAGCTCAATTATAGATGCTTTTTTTTACATTTAAAAAGCTGCACGTGCCCTAGAAATTGTCAAATATCGACCCTTAGATACCACCGGATACAAGCAAGTCGTCATGGTAACTCCACGTCAGGACTTTTTTTTTTTTTTTTTTTTTCTACCACTGTTAAGAGCATAAAATCGATTCATCAGTGTCAGAAATAGACGGCATTTGTAAAGCGACATATTTATTTTTTAGAACTGAGCAAATTTATGCGCACACCTCTAACGAAAAAAAAAAAAAAATTCTTCTCTCGGCGAAAAAATTTAATTTAAGAAAATTTAAAATCCCTCTCCACCCCCCCAAAAAAAAAAACGTTTCCTTTCCCTTACTCCATCTTGCATACTCCCCCATTGACTCACATTCGGACAACATTTAATTTCATATTACTTTATGTTATGACGTAGCAATGAAAAGATGAGAGAGAGAGAGAGAGAGAGAGAGAGAGAGAATTAAACAATAGCATTCATGAAAAAAATGAAAACATAAAAATTTCATTTAGAACATCGTTAATAATAAAAAAACAGAGGGACATGTGTAAAAAAAAACAAAAAAATATGCGCACAAGTCAGGTGGTGACTCACTACGAAAACTTTACAGTTTTTTTTTTTTTTTGTACAGGAAAAAATAGGGTTGAATTTAAAATGAGAAACGAATGGGGGGGTGGAAATAAAGATATTAATCTTGTTTTTTAACCCTTTTGCAAATGGAATCCCTAGAGAAAAAGTCATTGCATATCTGCACAAAAAACCTCTCTCCATGTAAAAAATTCACCGGCACGTGTGTCGCCGCGCTTACGAACCTTAACTTCCTATATCAACCCAGCGGTCAAAACCTTCTCTCCTTTTTTTTCTCCTAACTTTTGGTTTCGAATCGTTGCTGATAACATCGCACGCTTTTGATAAGTCATTTTTTTTTTTTTTGTTACATGCATGAAACATTTGTAAAATCTCCCGGTTTCCTTTTGATCCCTTCTGTACATTTTCCATACTCATTTCCAAACTGTAAAATTTCATTTAAAAAAAACGAATCGAAAGAAGGTTCAAATCACGTTCGTTACATTTCCTTTAATAACTCGTTAATGGGTAAGTGGAGTAAAATGAGTATTTATTCACTCTTTAAATTTCTATCATTTTTCCCTTTTTTTTGTTTTTTGTGGGGGACTCGGGGGAATCGAGAATCTACAACAGTGCGAAAACAAAACAAAAAAAAAAATCTAAATTCCAACCATTTATTACTGATATTTGCACATTTTATGTCTCAAAGATCATTGACCATCACCGAGAACTAAAATAAAATTTCATTTCCTTTTATGCCTAATGCGATGATATCCTTTTAAATGAATGAAAAAAAAAAAAAATAAAGAATCGAATGGGCAAAATGAATCAGCCCATAAAAAATCATTTCATTCCCTTCACCAAATGACTTTTTTTTTTTTTTTTTTTTTTTTATTATTATTTATAAACAATTAAGTAAAAAGAAAAAAGGAAAAGGAAGAAAATTATTTTGTTTTTGTTTGTGATAGAAATGGTTCCCCGTTGTCAATGACATTTTATCGATTAACAATTGTTGTTGTTAATATGCTGTCGACAGACAATTTAATTTAATTAAAAAAAAGACCTTACAACATCGGTATAATTTTTTTTTTTTTTTTTTTGACAGAAAAATAAAGTTTCATATTCCCACAGTTTATCATTCATTTATTTTCTTTTGCTGTACTCAATGGTACCCTCCCCTTACCGCCCCCCCCGAAAAAGATTTTCATAACTCAAACATTTAAAACATTGAATAGATAGAGTACGTAAGTACGTCTCTCTCCCTCTCTCTCTTTCTCTCTCTGGTTTTCTGTTACAAAATCAAAAACTTTTGAAAAAAATTTTAAAATCTAGAAATTTTTTAAAAATCTAAATTAGTCTGCTGTGTGTATAAAAAAAAAAAAAAAAAAAAAAAAAACCGTTAGGGAGAAAAAAATTTAAAAATAGTTTTTTTTAACTACTTCACATCTTTTTTTCTCTCATTTAAACTTAAATATTTATTTTTACATGCCTAAAGTTTTTTTTTTTTTTTTTAAAGGGATGAAAAAGTTTATTTTGGTTCAAACAAAACAAAACAAACTCGATACAAAACAAAACAAAAACTTATTCGAAAAAAAAAAAAATCTCAAAAATTTTTATGTAAGAAATTCCTTCGTCGTACCTCGTTCGAGGTTTTTAAATTTCGTCACATCCGGTTTCGTATCGAAAACCTCGTTACCAGGTTCTACGTTTACTACATTTTCTCTCTCTCTCTCTCTCTTTTTAAATAATTATTTAAAATATTAATAATAAATTTTCTAATAAAAATTTTACGCATTTAACATTGCGCATACGATAACTAAAAATAATCAACCACTCTCTCTCTTTTTTTTCCTTTTTTTTTTTTTTTCCTTTTAGTAAAATAAACCATTGTCCATTGAGGCTGAATAACTAATTACTTAAACGTACGATGTGAGGGTTTTTTAACCGACAAAATCCTTTTTTTTCCCTTTTTAACTAAAATCAATAATTACAAAAAAGCAGCGACTTTTTTTTTTAATGAGTCATTTTTTTCAACCCCCCCATTAAATAATTTTTTACATGTAATGCAAACAAACACACACACACACACAACATTAATGATGATGATTCAATCAATCATTAACGGGGTGAGTGAATGAATGAATGAATGTTTGTGCGGTTTTCGATTGCAATTATCCACCAATCGAATTTAAAAAAAAGTTGGTAGAAAATGGCTGACTACCCTATGGAAAAAAAATATCACAAAAATAAAAATTTTTTTTAAAAATATCTATATATAGAAAAATACACAGTCAAAGAAGGGATAAATGAAAATACACACACACACACACTTATATATATAATTTTTTTTTTTTCTGGGCACAAAAAATCAATATTTATGTGGGATCTCGTCGTCGTAGGGGGACGGAAGGGGGTGTGTGTGTGTGTGTGTGCAGAGGATTTTCCTTTCCCTTTATTGCCATTTTAGGCCCTTAGACACTGGCGCCCTCCTATGCAAAAATCCGCCTATTATTAAACAAAAATCCCTTAAATACTCTCGCATACAATAATAGTAATAATACTAATAATAATGAGAAAAAATAACAACAACAACAACAGCCATTTATAATTTTCATTTAAAAATATAACTAAAATTATTATTATTATTATTATTTTAATAACACTTAATAAAAAAACAATGCGTACCCATTAACATAATTTGAATACTGAAGATTTCCTTGTATAACGACAGCCATTGTCCATATCCACTAATTTTTTTTTTTTTTTTTTTTCTACTATTATCATTTATTTATTTTTTTAATTTGTTATGTATTCATAAGTGGTTCAAATAAAATAATAATAATAATAATAACCAAAAAAACAAAAAAATCAAAAAAAATAAAATAAAATCATAAAAACGAGAAAAAGAATGAAAGTAAGAAGAAAAAAGAATTTTTTTTTTTTTTTTTTTTTTTTTATCAAAGGAACAAAAAAAACCGAATGAAACAAAGGAAATTCCTTTGTTGTCGAATTGATTTACAAAAAGGAAAAAGCGTCATTATTTTAGCGCCCCCTCCCTTTCCCGTAAAAAAAAAAAAAAGGCATAAGAGCATTTTATATTACGTTTGAAATAAACTGACCGGAAAAGGAATGAAGAAAAAAATAACGGTTTTTTTAAAAAAATTAAATTCTTATTTTTTTTTTTATATTTAATTAATTAATGATGCGCTTCCTGAACACGACTCGATTCGAATAAAAGAACAAATTAAAATTTTTCGTCTGCTACGAATTGAGAGCAGGTGAGAGCGTCAGTTATATTTATTAAAATTTTAATATTATTTCCTAGATTTTGTTAAATTTCAAATTAACGAAAAAAATTTTTTGATTTCTATAAGAATGACTCCATCTTTTTTTTTTTTCTTTTTTGGTGGCGGTTTGAATGTGACAAATAAAAAAAATAATTTAAAGAAAAAATCCACATTTTCCAAGGGTATAATTTCAAGGTCATAAAAGAATTAAAATACGTTATGTAAGATTTTAGGCCGAAATAAATTTTTTCCTTATTCCTTTTCAAACGATAGAAAATCAATGTAAAATTCTCCATGATGGTTAAGAAACCGGAAAAGGAAATGTACCAGAGTAGAATAGAATCGTTTTTTTTTTTGTACGATATCGATTATAAATTTTTTTTTTAAATACAATTTTAATAGTTTTCGGGAATTGGAAAGGATTTATATGGATAAACGAATTTAACAAAAAAAATTAAAATACGGAAAGCGGGGGGGGGGAGAGAAAGAGAGAGAGAGAAACAATTCGAAAAAGAAAATTAAAAGAAATAAAATAAAATAAAAAAATAAAAACACATTACCTTAAGCTTCGAGAAGGGATTTCCAAACAAAACTAAAAAGGAAAAAAAAACTGAACGAGATATCTAAACCGATAAATTACAAAACTAAAAAAAAACAAAAAAACACTTGGACTCTACATTCAAGCACTAAATGACCGGTTGGACTGATTTTGATGGCGACGTACAGAGCGGGCCACTTGCTCGAGCTGTTGCGCAGAGCTGCGCAGGGTTTACCGAACACACCTATGACGATTTACTTGCCCCTCGGTGTTGCCAGATTTTCAACATTGTTAAAAAATTTCTTATTCATTTGCCGCGAAAATATAATGTTTGACTTATGCACTTTTAAAAAAACTTAAATATTTCCCTTCGCTTATATATATTCACTCTATGGCGAAGGGTAAATTTTAGTTACTTTATTTAACACTTGGAAGCAGCACAGTATTTAGGCAACCCTTCTATGTATTCGGTGGGTTTGAAATTTTTTTTTTCTTTTTTTTCTCTTTTTTTTTTTTTTTGCCTTCCTCTGTTTTTCTCTCTCTTTTCTATGGAATTTTCCACACGGCTTTTCTCTGTTTTCCAGATATATATATATATATATTATTGATTTTTCGCTTTTTTTAGGTGCGGTTGCGATGGAGACACTGGAATACCACTGTGATGCAATAAAATATTGCGTTGGCGTTGGCCCTGATTACTTTATCCCGTTGTAAGTTTAAATTTCCCTTAATTTATATAAAAAAAAAAAACTAAAAAAGCTAAAAGGGCAAGAAAATATTTTTAGAACTTTAATTATTATTTATTATTTTGATATAAACTTTTAAAAACTATATTGCCGTTTGTTTCGTTAACGAAATCAGTTTTAAATAAATTAATGTTGATTTATTACTTATTATTATTATTATGAAAATTTATAATTTAAACAATAGTTAGAGAACTCATTTAGAAGAAAAAACATTATTAATTTATTTATAATTATTATTTAATAACGGATATATATATCAAAAGCATAATAATAATAATAAAATCAATAAATTTAATTATGAATGAACCTTTGAGAAGAGAATTTTTTATATTCATTTTTTAAACAAAAGAGACAAGAATCCCTAATAAAAAATTATTATTATTATTATTATTATTATTATTATTATTGTATAAAAAAGTATATATTTAAGTAATAAAAATTATTGACAAAACAAAAAAGAAATGATTGTATTTTATTTGACACCAAAAATAAAAAAAAAAATTAGTTATTTGTTTTTTGTATCAATGGTATATATGTATATTTTTTTATTTTTAAAGAAAATGGAAAAAGCTAATTCGAATCGATCCCGGAGGATTTATGCTGGAGAATTCATAAATGGAAGATGGGATATTCGGGGTCGATGAACTTTCTCAATAACCCGGAGTTTAAATCATTGTCAAGAAAAAGGGAGAGAGATGAAAGAAGGGATGAAAAATAAATGGGTAAATAAGAAAAGGCAAAAAAAAAAAAAGAGAAGCTTTTATTTAGAGAATCATGTGTTTTACTGTATCGATTTCATAAAAGTTTTTCCTTTTATTTTATTTTTCAATTCAATTTTTTAAACATAAACAAAAAAAAAAATTTTGTTTTATGTTCACCATATATAATATTATTGTTATTATTATTATTATTATCATTGTTTTTATTATATTATTGTAAATTGATTTCGATACGAATTTTAACAAAATAACTTTACACTCATGTATTTTATTAAAATAACCGGTTTCTATGACTTCATTTTAGTTGTTTATTGAATTTTTTTTATTAAATGGAAAATTTCATTTCCGTTAAACGCTGGTTTTTTTTTTAAAAAATTTTCTGCCATTTTTTTTTTTTTTTTTTTTAATACAATCAAATAATAATAATTGTAATTTATATTGAAAACTATTTTTTCTCATTATTATTATTATTATTATTAAGTAGTTTTTAGATAGTTTAAATAGTTTGGAGTTAAGAAGAAAAAATTTGATTGTAATAATAAAATGGGAGACGAAGGTATAATTTATTATAAATTTAAATTTAAAAATTTTTGTACAATGTAAATATTAATTAAATATAAAAACAGATTCGGATGATAGCGAAGGAGAAGGAGGAATGGGAAATTTAAATAGGCTTATTGTTCGTCCTCCAGGACATAGTGGTAAAGCTAAAAGAGGTCATTTATGTTTTGATGCTTCATTTGAAACAGGTATTTTTTTTACTGACATTTTTTTTAATTAATAACAAAAAAATTTGAATTTGAATTAATTTTAATAAATTTATTTTTAAAGGAAATTTGGGAAAAGTTGAATTAATATCAGAATTTGAATATGATCTTTTTATAAGGCCGGATACATGTAATCCAAAATCAAGATTGTGGTTTAATTTTTCTGTTGATAATACAAAATCAGATCAGGTAGTACCTTGAATTAAATTTTTTCTAGAGTAATTTAAAAAATTAATTTTCTTTTTTTAATTTTCAGAGAGTTATTTTTAACATAGTTAATTTTAGTAAAAGAAAAAGTCTTTTCGAATTAGGTATGACACCAATAATTAAATCATCAAGCAGACCAAAATGGTAACTTTTATAAATTGTAATTTAATAATAATAATAATTAATAATTTTTTTAAAACGTCTCAATTTTTTGTTAATTTTGAAAAGGCAAAGGATTCCAAAAAAATACATTTATTATTATAAATCTCCTGATCATAACGGTCAAACCGTTTTATCAATTTGCCACGGATTTGATAAAGAAGAAGACATTTATCAATTTGCTTACAGTTTTCCATTTTCTTATTCTAAATGTCAAGCTCATCTTAAACAAATCGAACAGAAAAAATATTCATTTATAAAAAGAGAAATTTTAACTAAATCGATAGTGAGTTTTTCATCTCTCTCTCTCATCTCATTTTTTAAAAATTATTTAAAGAAAAATTAAAATTTTTTTTTTTAGCAAATGCGTGCAATCGATATGTTAACGATATCAAACATAGAATCCAATAAGAAACAAAGAATTGTTTTTATATTAGGAAGGATTAATCCAGGAGATTCTCCTACATCATTCGTATGTCAAGGCAAGAATATTTTTTTTAAATTAAATAATCCTTTTTATAAAAAATGAAAAGGAAAACTTAAATTTTTTATATTTTATCAAAGGGATATTAGATTTCCTCATCAGTAATCATCCAATTGCTGTAAAGCTAAGAAACGTTGCAACTTTTAAAATAGTACCCATGATGAATCCTGATGGAGTTTTTTTAGGAAATCACAGGTTTGAATTTCTGACATGTTTAACTCTAATTTATAAACCTTAAAGTAAAAAAAAAAAATTTTTTTAAAGATCGAATTTGATGGGATCAGATTTAAATAGAAATTGGCACCAACACAACGAATGGTCACATCCATCTTTATACGCTTTCAATCAATTGGTACTCGATTTGGAATCGAATAAAGTAAAAAAAAAAAAAAAAAAAATGTCACACGCTTTCCAATTATCAATTATTATTATTATTATTTTTAAAAAAAATTTTTTTTTTTAAGGGTGTTAATGTGGATTTCATATTAGATCTTCATGCAAGTTCGAGTCTTCCAGGGGTTTTTATTTACGGTAACACATACGACGACGTTTACAAGTAAAGAAAATTATTATTATTATTATTATTATTTTTGTTACTTGATGTATGTGATGCTGCGGTGATAAATATAAAGTCATTTGGAGTTTATTGCCAACATGTTTTTTTTTTTTTAGTAAATTTATAGAAATCAATATTGTTGTCGAGTTAAAAGCTTATACGGTTGCTGGATAAATATTGCATTACAATATTTATAGAGAAAAACTTAAAAAGCTTTTTACTCATTTTTGCATAAAATAAAAACAATTTACAATTTTCCAGCTTTTTTTTTCTTTCAAATTGTATATATTTTAATTTGGATTTGTTTTTCCAGTCGTTTAATAAATATTTTTATTAAATTTTATTCGATTTAAATCATAAGCTTTTAACTGAACAAACTCTAAGCATTAACGTTTTTTTGTAACAGGTACGAAAGGCATACGGTTTTTCCAAAATTGTTAGCACAAAACGTTGAAGATTACGAAAGTGATAATACAATGTATAACAGAGATGCTTTTAAATTGGGTCCCCCAAGAAGGTAATGTAAAAAAAGTATTTATGAAATATAATATCGTTTGATAAAAAAAAAAAAATGCTTTTTAGGTATTTTAATTCAAAGCTCAAAGGCGGCACGAATTGTTACACAATAGAAGTTTCATTTTTCGGTTATAAAAAAAAAGATGCTTTCAATTACAAAGTTTACACGGAGGAAGCTTGTATCTTTTTAACAAAAAAAAAAAAAAAAAAAAGAAATTTTTATTTTGATGTTGGCAACATAATAATAATAATAATAATTTTCCTGACAGGATAATCAGATCAAAGACTGGGTAGAAATTTAGTCAGAACAATATTCGATTATTATCAAGCAATGGGTTTTATTCAGGAAAAAATTTTACATTCTGTCGAAAGTATAAAAAAAAATAAAAGTAAAACGAAAAATAAAATCAAAACCGTCTGTTAAAAAAAAATTATTTTATGTAAAAAAAAAAGGTAAAATGTTATTTTATTATTTGTTGTTAATAACACGAATTAAATATTGTATTAAAAATTGCTGTCGTGTTTTTGTTTTGCAAGAGGAACACGAACTCCATCTAAACAATTTAAACCAAAATTAAAAGTTAATATGGCCTGCTGCTTTTTAACCGAAAAAAAAACTTCACGGCGTGAAAGAAAGAGGTCGATATTGGTAACCAAAAAAAAAAAAAAATACATATTTAAATCTAGATGTGTCTGCTACAGGAAGAAAATCAAATATGAAAAAATAAAACATGCGCATTTGTTTTAGTGACGTATTGACCAAGAGCGCTGCGACGATGTACAGCAGCAGCAGCCAGTCGTAGCCGTCGGTTAGCCCGAGTGCCTAACATCTCGACAACAGAAAAAATTTATCGGAAAAAAAAAAAAAAACAGAAAGAAGATGGAGTATATAAATCGTGTATTACGTATTTACGGTAAAAATCAATTGGGAAAAAAAGGGTATTAAAAAAATTTTGTTTTGATGGGTTTACAAGTTTCGAGAAGGAAATATGGGTGATTAAAATGTGGAATAAAACACATTTCTCGGTTGAGTAATGTGCTGCTGTTCGCGTTGCAGAATAATATATCGGAAGTGCACCGCTTAGCTGTGTGCTGAAATTACAACTGTTGGAGTTGTTGAAACATTCCACCGCACAGTATGGCCTCGGTCGCCGCTTGGCTGCCCTTTGCCCGGGCGGCGGCCATCGGCTGGGTTCCTATCGCCACCCATCCTCTCCCACCGCCACCGATTCCGAAAGATCGGAGAAAAGCCGATGACGAAAAATTACTGATAAACGTGTCGGGGAGAAGATTCGAAACGTGGCGAAACACCCTTGAAAAATATCCAGATACTCTATTAGGATCCAACGAAAGAGAGTTCTTCTACGACGAAGAATACAAAGAATATTTCTTCGATAGGGACCCAGATATATTTAGGCATATCCTTAATTACTATCGCACTGGTAAACTTCATTATCCGAAACACGAATGTCTCACTAGTTACGATGAAGAATTGGCTTTTTTCGGCATATTGCCAGATGTAATCGGAGACTGTTGCTACGAAGATTATCGCGATAGAAAAAGGGAAAATGCCGAAAGACTCATGGACGATAAACTATCGGAAAACGGTGATCAAAACCTACAGCAACTCACAAACATTCGTCAGAAAATGTGGAGAGCATTTGAAAATCCTCACACGTCAACGGCGGCATTAGTTTTTTATTACGTTACCGGATTTTTCATTGCCGTTTCCGTTATGGCAAACGTCGTTGAAACGGTACCGTGTGGAAACCGGCCAGGTAGAGCGGGTACCTTGCCCTGCGGTGAAAGGTATAAAATTGTGTTCTTCTGTTTAGACACCGCTTGTGTTATGATATTCACGGCCGAATATTTACTCCGACTATTTGCGGCACCCGATCGTTGTAAATTCGTACGAAGTGTCATGAGTATAATAGACGTTGTTGCCATATTACCTTATTATATTGGTCTCGGTATAACGGACAACGATGATGTTTCCGGTGCTTTTGTTACATTAAGAGTTTTTCGAGTTTTTCGAATTTTTAAATTTTCAAGGCATTCTCAAGGACTCAGGATTCTTGGGTACACATTGAAATCATGCGCATCCGAACTTGGATTTCTCGTTTTTTCATTAGCTATGGCCATTATTATATTTGCCACGGTCATGTTTTACGCCGAAAAAAATGTCGACGGCACGAATTTCACATCGATTCCAGCTGCTTTTTGGTATACTATTGTTACAATGACAACATTGGGGTAAGTGCGGAAAAATCAATCACAATTTAAAAAAAAAAAAAAAAAACGTTATCGAAAAAATTTAAATTTAAATTTAAATTTGAATTTTTTAGTTTTCTCAAAAGAGTCTTTTGATAATAATTTGATAATTTAATACTATTGAGCATGAAAAATAATAATAATAATTTTCTCGAAAAATTTTCGAATATCATTAGTCTAAGTCTTGATAAATGATCTTAATGGAAATATATTAAAATAATGATGGAAGAAAAAGAAGAATAGAATAATATACATTTTCTATTATCATCATCATCATCATTATTATTATTATTAATATTATATAAAATTTGTAGGGAAATTTAAAGAGAAATCCATTATTGATTCGATTTGTATTTATATATATAACGCGTCGTTTTACAAAAAAAAAAAAAAAAAAAAATTTCCGTTAAGCAAATCTGATGATGACGTATGATGATTCCAGCATCTGGTTTATTAATAATAATAATAATAATAATAATAATAACAATAGATTTAATATTAATGATGTCGAAATGGAATTTTTTGTTTTTTTTTTCTAAATTTTCTACAGGAATCGAAAATAAATCACAAAAAAATGGAAGATTATGATTGAGAGATTCTAGAAAAATTAATTACGACAAATTAAAACTAACGGGGAGGGGAGGGAGGGAACCGAAGAAAAAATTTCAGACGAGAAATGATTTGCCTTAAAAACAAAAAAAAAGAAATCGGTTAAAATGTCGTCTGCTTTTTTTTTTTTTTTTATTTATTCGATGTTACAATTTAGCCTCTTGAATAAAAAATCAACTTATCGGAAAATTTTTTTTCTTTTCTTTTTTTTTCTTTCACTTTTATTATTATTATTATTTATAGATATTTTTTTTCCAGCGACACTAAACGGGGGATGGGGTGAGGTGGAGTGGAGGGGGAGGAAAAGGAAAGGCGGAAGTTAACTATTATTTATTCTTAAAATATTATATCGATAATTTTATTTTTTTTTCCTCCAGTCAAATCAAAGAAAAACAAAACAAAAAAAAAGAAAATTTTTTTAAATCTGCCATAAAAATCTTTTTTTTTTTTTTTTTTTTTCAATAGTTGGCGGTTAAGGGTGTGGCTTTAATTTAACGTTAGAACACCCTCGAGTTTTGCTTTTTTTTTCTGGAGGAGACGGGGGGCGGGAGCGGGAGAGGGGGCGGTGAAATTATCGCAATGAAGACTAAAAAAAAAAAATATTCTAGAATGTTTTCATCGTCCATGCAATCGGTAGTACACTAATCACCGAAATTCTTATCAGTTAAGCCCTTTTTATCATATAATTTATTATTATTATTATTATTATCATTAGCATTATTATATAAATGACCAAATAATTATTATTTACGATCGTCATTTATAATTTAAACCGAATAATAATAATAATAATAATAATAATAATTAAATAGGAAGAAAAAATTGTTTTAAATATAAATATGGCGAAACGAATTTCCCCTCGCCGCCATTTTATTTGCGCGCAGTACTTTTATTATTTTAACGGTTTTTTTTTTTTTTTTTTTTTTTTTTAAACTTTCCCCGGAAATTATTTAAATTTAATAATTTATTAATAAAAAAAAGCAATAATAATAATAATAATAATGACAATAGATCGTTCCCTTGTTAAATATTAATAATAATAATAACAATAACAAAAAAAAAAGAAACAAAAAAAGATTTTGTACGAAATATAAAATGAACCTATTTATTTATATTTATTTTACGAGTATAATTGTCTTTTTTTTTCAAAAAAAATTATTTATAAATAATTCAAAGGAATAACGATTATTAAATTAAATAAATTATGAACGCGTTAAATAATTTAATTAATAAAAATGATCCGATTTCAATATTAATAATAATAATAATAATAATTATAATAATAGAAATATGGTTAATAATAATAATAATAATAATAATAATATATATAATAAAATCGAGTTTTAACCTTGGGTTTAAAAAAAAAAAAAACTTAAAAAGAAAAAGAAGAAGAAGCTATATATTTATAGCGTTTGAATTCTATTTTTAAATTTTTCTTTTTTTTTTTTAATAATGAATTTTAACCGACGTCGTCGGTTGATTCTGCTGACGTTATTAATTTAAAACTAGATTTTGATTCGGTTAAATAATCATCATCGTCATTATTATTATTATTATCATTATTTAAATTTTGTAACAATGATACATACGTTTTTTTTTTTTTCCTTTTTTTCCGTTACGTAAATTTGGCAACGTTTAAATTTTAATCGATTTCATTGTTATCTCGTTAGGCTTACATATAATTTTTTTTTTTTTTTTTTCGTAAGTTGGTAGAACCTTTTGCGAACTTTAGTTATTTTTTATCCTTTCATTGAACGCGTACATTTTTTACTTTTAGTTTTTTTTTTTTTTTGAAAATTATGTTTAGGCGTTCGATTTTACACGTTCGCTCGTTCGTTTTGATTTTATTAATACGGAATATTGTTATCGTTGAAATATTTTACGAAATAAAACAATTAAAGTGTGAGTTTTTCGAAAGTTTAAATATAAGAAAAAAAATATTCGGTTTTTCTTGTTGGCGGTTTTTTCTTAGAGGGAAATCTTAATAGTCTGAAGCCTTTTGAATAATTTATTATTTTAAAAGATGCATTATTAATTAAATCGAAAGGAAAGTTTTATTTTATATAAGAGACTGAATATTAAGTTTATAGTCCATTCGGTTTTAAAAAGGTTCTTAAATAAAATTGATAATAATAATAATAATAACAATAATAATTACGATAATGGATGTTATTAAGCGGTTTCACGTTTTTTCGGTTTTTTTTTTGTTTTGTTTTTTGTTTATTTTGTATATTTTAAAACGTTTCGATTTTTAATAATTTATTTAAAACAAATAAGAAAGGGTAAAATTGTTTTTTTTTTTTTTTTGTGTAAAAATGTTTTTCACGAAAGCGGATTATAACCAAATCAGGTTAAGTATATTTTTATTATACTATATTTCGAAGTGGCTCAATGTTATCGCCACTGTTTTAATTACTTTTTTTTTATTTATTTAATAATTATTGTAAAATAATACTAGTAATAAAAACTCGTTAAACTATTATTACTGTGATTATTATTATTATTATTACTGCTACGATAAAGCGAGAGATTAAAGTAAAAAGTTATTGTGGTATTGAATTTATTAAAATTTAATTAAATTTTTTTTTTTTTTTTTTTAATACCGTGAATTAAATATCAAGGTAAAAAAACTATATATAAAAAAAATTTTTTTAAGCGAAAAAGCCACGTAATAATTATTTATTTATTAAAAGCAAAATTTTATTAATAAAAGAAAAGGAAAAAGTAATTAAATTTTTTTAATAAGTGATCTGAGTCTAATTCTAAGAAAATAATTTTTACATATATATAATTAAACTTTGCTCATTGTTGGAGTGTAATAAAAACAAATAATAATAATAATAATAATAATACTCTTAGCTCAAATAGTAGAGGAACATGGAGGAAAAAATTATGGAAAAAGGAATACTGAGAAGGGCAAAACTAATACTCCAAGAAAATAAAGAAAATGAATCAGAATAATGGCAGCTTACTACTTACAACAGCAAAGGACAATCTTAGAAGAATCTAAAGGGCAAATGGTAACAAAAACAGTTACATGGGCAATATTTAAAAGGAGTTAACGCTTCAGATATTACTAAGAAGAGCAAGAAACCTAATTTTGTGAACTTTCAACTACGAGAAGGCAAGTAAGTCTAAAGGTTTGCCAAAACAAGTGCCGAATTTGTGAATTACAATCAGATACAATTGATAATCTAATTTCCGGTTGTTCGAAATTGGCATAACAGGAATACCTAGAGGGCACTATAAAATTTGTCAATATCTCCATTGGAATATATGCCGAAAATATGGAATGGTTGGATTTTCCAAGGAATGGTACAACCACATTCCAAGCCCGGTTACGACAGTAGGTCCATGCACAGTTCTATATGATCAACAAATCCACATTGTCAAAACTGTGCCAGCCAGCAAATTGGACATCATTCTAAGACACAACTCTGAAAAATGGTGTAAACTAACTGAAGTAAAAATATAGCAGGCAGTTAAAGAATGGGGCAAAAGGCTGAAATAACCAGGATGTGGGGAATAAAGACAGAAACTATTCCGGTCATCGTTGGGGCACTGGGAGCCACGATGCCACATTCAATGAAAGGAAATTTAGAGAAGTTTTTCAAGAATTTAAAAGAAGAAACCATCTAGGAAATGGCACCACATTCTTCGACAAATATTATAAATAGCACCAAAGAAATTTGAAGGATTCGGGTAGGGTAAACCTGGAAAAAATGTTTAAAAACCTCCTTACACAAAATCATGTCGCGTTCAAAGGGCAATCTGAAAACAATAATAAAACAAAACAAAACAAAATAAAATAAACATAAATTTTTTTTTTATCGACGTTAAATTATAATATTTAATAAATAAATAAAATAATAAACGTTTTCCTTTAGACGTTATAAAAACAAAAATAATAAAATTTTACATATATATATATTGCAAAGGGTTTTTAGAATGTAAAACGTTTAGCCCCCCCCCTCTCTCTCTCTTTTCCCCGCCCCCCTCCTCGTACCTCCCATAACATATTATAAACTTTTCAAATAAATTTAGTTTTGTTTTTCATTATTAAAAAAAAAAAAAAAACGTCACGACATAACAATTACTGTAAAAAAAAAAACAAATAAAAATAATCTACTCGGACACACAACATAACGTCACGAATTATTTTATTATTATTACTTTAATATTTTTATATATATATCGAGGTAATACCAACCGAAAAAAAAAAAAAAATTATTCGACATTGAATTTATTGTATAACACACATAAACACACACCGAAGCCAATAAAACTATGAAAACATATTAATGCAAAAAAAAACAAAACAATTTTTTTTATAAAGAAAATGTGGTTTTTGTTAAGTGCCATCATCATCAAATGTTAAGATATAAATATTTGAATAAAAAGAGAAAAAAAATCTCTCTCTATCTCTTTCTATCTCTCTCTTTCTCTCTCTTTTTTTTCGAAAATTATACAAAAACGAACGAAATTTA